GAAAATTTTCAGATCATTTTAGGGCAAGAACACTAGGATGATAGAATCGTAACAAAGCTAACAATGAATGGTAAAAAAAAACAATCTCAGCTATCACATGAAGATAAATTGATAGATGTGCATAAATGTGTGCATATAATCAAATCTGCTGATAAAAATGTATAAAATATCCATAGCAGTAAAGTGAATGTACAAGGCAATGAAAAACATTGAGATCTATGTGGTACGGGCTATTTTTCAAACATAGAATCTAATGTTCATTTGTTCCGTCCAGCAACGAATGGTCATAGCCCGAGGATTCGCCACCATCCATGTTAGGACTACTCATAGAATCATCATCTTCTTCCATTTCATTCTCGGACTCTTCTAGAAGGCTCATGATCTGAGCTCTGATCTGCAAACCAACTTATAAATGTATTTTTATTATGATGCTCAAGAAACTTACCCGTTTCCTCTTTCTGGGTTCCATCTTCTTCAACCTCACTCCGATAATTCTGCAGTACAGAAAGTCTTCGTCATTCATCCAATCCATAACGCTTTTTCCAACCTAGGATGAGAATATGAAACCCTGTCGCCTGATCACATTACTATGAGCCATACATTTACTGCCTGCTTGATCATCGCCTGTTCTAATTGCTGGTAACGAGTCATTAGTTGATTTTTCAGAACTGATGAGGACAATGATTGCTGCAGGTGAGATGCCCCTAGTCCTACTTCGCCTTTCTCGGTTCGTCTGTCATTGGGTTCTTTTGGAGGCGATTGTGTTTTTCCACAGTCGACCTTCATTTCTTCCTCTGCTCCAGAACCACCGACGCTTGGATCATCACTTTCATCTAGAAACAGTCACATTTAAAGAGAAGCTAGCAAAAACTTGAAGGGACAACCCATTTTCGCCAAGGCAACAATTTTTGTGGCTTAGATGCGCATACACCTTTTTACTAGTCTTACAAACACTTTAGTAGGAGATATAGTAACCACCTAATTCATACACGAGAAATTCTGATAGAGTTTCTTTAAATTTTGGATAGTGCAGCAAAGAAGAAGTCACAGGCTCCAGAAAAGGTATAGGTCACGTTTACAAATAAACTGTTAGCTGGATTTGCTCGTTTTGCTGCACCCACAAAGCTTCCTCTCTTTCTATGAAGAACTTCTATAAGTTTAATGAGATATTTTACAAGCAATCTGAATAACCTTTTTGAGATCCTGTGATCTGATGTGTCGATGCTAGAAGACGGTCAATTACGGATGTTTCCAGTAACGAAGACGATTGACCACAGTCAGCTGAAATCGAAATAGAAAATCTTAGACTTGTAAAAGGAGATTTGAGATTAAGGAGCTTTACACTAACAATCATCTGGCTCTGTTTTCACTGAGCTTATGCCAAAGACATCGACGGGAAACCCGTCGTTACTCTCTCCATATCCCCCTTCACAGGCTGTCAGCACTCTGAAAGTCAATACAAATCAAAAGAGAGACTTGCTTCACATCTATGACTTACAGGTTATCCTTCAGGTAAGGGTCGAGCCAGGATAAATGCGAGAAGTAGCACCACCGAACTGGGGCAACGAAGTTCTGCTTAATCGCTGTTTTGAGCTCTTTCCGGTACCGATCTCGTAGTTGCAACCAACGTTTCTTGGCAAAATCGCCTTAATAGGCACCCCCTTCACTAAACCCTATGAGATAATTAGCAATGCACCTACCGGAACAGTTGCTGTCGACGGCTGCGGCAATTTTCTCCCAAATTCGCATCCGTTCTAGCGTGTCTCCACTGCCACGCTTAGCGTGGTTGTAAAGACATGGATATTTCTTTACCTCGGCGATCAACCTGGCGTTAAACGCCGGTTGGAAGGACATCGTCCTGAAAATGGTGATGCATAAGATGATGAATGTGAAAAATTATGAATGAGAGGACGTAAGAAATTGAATGAAGAATATGCTGAAGCAGCCTCAAAGCAGCCAAGCCGTTGAGAACCGGAAACGGAAATTCTCCGGCTACCGGAAACGGGCTAAACCCCCGCACACACCTTCGCGGCCATACATGATTGCTAAGTGTTGTAATAGCAAGGTGGTAGAAAGTCAGGGTACTAACCAATGGAAAAAAATGCTCACAACTTTAAAGTCATGTCAGAAGGTTGCAGCGATTTCTAATAATCCAGGAAATAAAGAGTCATCATAAAGTAATCCCTCCTAATCAGATTTTGAAATTGGGTTTTGAAGAATGTAGCAATTAACAAGGTAC